CCTCTCTGGTATCTCCAAGTAAACAGACAACTACTATCCTTATCAGAAGGGAGTGGGCCCTATTTGTTGTGGGATAAACAGTGGTGTCTGCTTGATCTAGACAGCTTTTAACTCTCAGTGAGAATGACTCCCACTCCACTCTTGATGACCTCCAAGTGTATAGTTATTCTCAAGCTAAATCTGGCATATATTTTGGGGAGACAACTTGGGAGAAATCCTTCTGTTCCCCACAGGGTGGATGTGTTTACTTTTAATGTGCCAGATCATAAGGAATAAAAGGTAAGAAAGATGCTTTTATCCATGGACTAGCTGGACAATATATGAGGGTAAGTAAAAAAGTATTGTTATGGCTCTTCCTTTCCAGCCTGGCCCTGGCATTATGGGTCCCACAAAGCAGGACAGTGTGAAGAGGGGACATTTGGCTGTCAGTGAGATGTACTCTCTGGTGTACATCAACAGTCACAAGCACATCCATGGAATAGCCTTCAAGAAGCGTGCCCCTCAGGCACTCAAAGAGATGGGAACACAAGATGTATGAATGGACACCAGGCTCAACACAGCTGTGTGGGACAAAGGAATCAGGAACATCCCATACGTATCTGGTATGGTTGTTCAGGAAATATAATGAGGATGAAGATTCATCAAACAAGCTCTATACATCGGTTACCTACCTTTCTGTGACCACTTTTAAAACCTACAGATAGTCAATGTGGATGAAAACTAGTGGATGATTATTGGTACTAGGATACCAGTGAATACATGCATAGGTTTATTCCACATAAAGTGTGTTTAAACATCACTCTGCAATCAGTGGATGGTTGCAGATAAGTTCTCTCAATAATGCCCTTCCCTAAGTCTCATTAAGGTACCTTCAATAACAGGCCAATGAAAAGAGCTTAAATTCTGAATGGGTGGTTTGCAGAAGGCCGTGGGTGACAGTGAAAGCCCAACAGTCACTTGCAGTTTCCACACGGTGAAGCTCCTCTGACCACAGGCCAGAGATGTGAATAGCAATCCTCCCAGAATGCACTGGAAAGTGCATTAATACTGGACTTTTTTTTCAAAGCTATGTAAATTTTTTTACAAAACAACCTTATCACCTTCAAAACACTCTCCATTACACTTAATACATTTGTCAAATCTGTGATTCCATTCTTGGAAACATTTTTCAGACTTATCTATTTGGATGGCAGACAGCATCTCCCTAGTTTTTTCCTTCACCTCTTCTATGTCATCAAATCACTGTCCACTCATGTCCCTCTTCATTCATGGAAACAAAAAGAAGTCACCGAGTGCGATCAGGTGAGTCAGGTGCATGGGGCAAGAGAGGCATGCTGTTTTTTTGCCAAAAACTGGTGCACAGAGATGGCTGAATGAGCAGGTGCATTGTCAGGGTGGCAAAACCAGTCCCGTCTGCCACAAATCTGTTCTTTTTTGTCACACACTGTTACACCATCTTCTCAGAACCTCTACATAGAAAGCTTGATAAACAGTCTGATCTGGTGGTGGAATGAACTCCAAATGCACCATGAGTTGACATTTTAGTCCATTCAGGCAGATGAAGGACATCCAAAACAAGGTTTATCATTCACACATCATTCAACATTTCACCTTTTTTGGAAATGAGAAAACCGCTTGTACACTTGAGTTTTTCCCATAGAGCTGTCCTTGTGAGCTGTGTTCAACATCATAACAGTTTCTGGGGCATTTTTCATGAGCAGGAAACAAAATCTCACAGCTGCATGCTGTTCTCTTAGACATCACACAAAACAAGGTTTGAGTGAAACTGCTTTTATGAAAAAATTCATGGTGACCAGAGAGAACCTTCCCAGGCGACACCACTGGGTGCACTAACTTGGAGCGAGTTGCTCAATGCTTGCCTAGCAGGGGAAAATATGTACTATGAAAGTTCTACCCACCTGAACTTTTTTCCAGTTTTTGAGGGGGTAGCCCCTTATAGGTCAGTTAAAATTTAACACCTTATCACTTGTTCTCCTTAAAAAAATTTTTAAAAAGTTTGTTCTAGTTTTTAATATTTTCTGCTTTTTGATTGAGGTTTTTCACTTTTATTTTGTTATTGTTGTTGGGAGTTTTTGCTTTTGTTTTGTATGTTTTTCTGTATATGAAATTCAGGACAGGTAAATCTATTGAGGCAGTAACTAGATCAATAGTTTCTTAGGGTTATGGCAGGGGAATTTGGAAGGCAATGGGGAACTAATAATGAATACAAGAAAGAAGATGTTCTAGAATTGATGATGGTAAGTAAAAGTTACACAACTCTCTAATATGAGTAAACCACTGAATTGTATGAGATGTGAATTATATGTCAATAAAACTGTTTAAAAATGGAGGGGCCAGGGTAGCAACGATGAAACATATAACTTTCCTCTAGTTCTTAAATGCTTCCCCCCGCCCCCCACTATCATGATCCCAATTCTGCCTTGCAAATCTGGCTAGACCAGAGATGTACATTGTACAGATAGCAACTGGAAACACAGGGAATCCAGGATAGATGACTCCTTCAGGACCAGTGGTGAGAGGGGCAATGCCTGGAGGGTGAAGGGAAATGTGAGGTAGAAGGGGGGAAATCTAAGTATAGCCTCCTCCCTGGGGGATGGACAGCAGAGAAGAGGGTGGAGGGAGACGTCGGACAGTGTAACTTATGATAAAACTATAATTTATGAATTATAAAGGGTTCATGGGGGAGGGGGGGAGGGGGAAAATGAGCAACTGATATTAAGGGCTAAAGTAGAAGGCAAATGTTTTGAGAATGATGAGGGCAACAAATGTACATATGTGCTTGACAAAATGGATGTATGTATGGACTGTGATAAGAATTGTACGAGCCCCCAATAAAATAATTTTTTTTTAAATGGAGAGGCCAATCAAAACAGTGGCTTCCTAGGGGATCTGCTGGACCAGTTAAATTCAAGGCAGAGAGGTCAACTCAGAAGGTGATGGCAATTGTTTTGAGAGATGATAAGGTGGCAATCTTGATAAATTTTCTCAAAGGGTACAGAATGATCATGAGGATTTACTAGATGTTTTAAGAACATGCAAAACTTCATTAATGAGAAGAAGGCCAGAAAAGTTACACTGTGGAGATTTTTCCCACCACCACAATGTCCTTGCACATTCTTTGAGGGTAGCAAGAACTGTCCCACAAGATTTCCTTGAGAAAACTTACTGTACTTACCCTACCACCCTAATCTTGGCCCTCCAGACTTCTTTTGGTTTTCCCAAACTCAAAGAACATATAAAAAGAGCATGATTTGGGTCCCTTGAGATGTCAAAACTACTGTTTTGACGTGGTGTAGATCAAAGATTGCACAACTCTTTGGGGCTGAGTTGGAGAGATGGAAACAACATCTTTAGAAGTATACAGACTTAGTGGAGATTATGTCAGGAAACAAAACAGCTTCACATTTTTACAGTTTTGTTTATGAATTTTATAGTTTGCTTCTATGAATTCGAAGCAAGACTTACCCTCAATTATATAAACAGAACTGAGCTATAATATAGCACTGAAGACAGAAACATATACAAGATAAGGAATAACACAAAGGAAAGTGTGGTCACCTATCAGACCTGTTTGAAAAAGGTCTTTAAAAAAAAAATTAGGCACTGTGCCCAGTATTTAACACTGGAGGAAAGGCACTTTAGGCAAAGCTCTGAATATGAAGTGCTAGGGGAACAGCAAGCAGGTGGATATAACTGAAACTTATACTCCAAAGAAGAGGTAAGAAAGAAAGGTGGAGTTATTGGGGACACGTTATAAAAATCCCTATACATTCTGCTAGAGTTTAAGTCTTCATAGGTAGTAAGAAAATCCTGCCCCGTTTTAAACGGAACAATGATAAGGTCATGGTATAACCATTGTGCAAAACAGTGTGGCATTTCCAAAATAGAATTACCATGTAGTTGTTATTAGATACTATCAAGTTGGTCCCAACTCAAAGCGACCCTTTGTACAACAGAGCAAAACACTGCCTGGTCCATATGACCCTACAAATCCACTTCTAGCTATATATGCCCAAAAGACTCAAAAGCAGAGCCTCAGACAGAGATTTACACACGAATGTTCATTGCAGTGCTAGTCACAATAGCCAATAGGTAGAATCAACCTAAAAGGCCATCAATTCATGAGTGGATAAACGAAATGTGATACATATCTACAATGGAATACTACTCAGTCAGGAAGAGAAATGAGGTCTTCGTACATGCCACAGTCCGGCTGCAGTTGAAAGGCAATCTATTGAGTGAAATTAGTCAATCACAAAAGGACAAATATAATTACCCTTATATAAAAAGACAAAAAAAGGCAAATGTATAGAGAAGGAAACGTACTAGTGGTTAGCAGGGGCAGGACAGAGGAGGAAGAGGGACTTAACAATGATGGAGATAGCACTAAGGGTAGGGTTGCACAGTCAATTATTATAATTGCTGTCAATAAGGTATACACCTACAAAAAGCTGAACTTGCAAACGTTGGGAGACATACATTTACAGTAACAACAAAAGAGAGTAGCTGCTGACCCTGCTTATGTATAAGTAAACACTTAATTGGATTTGGTTCCTTTGTAGGGATGTTCAGGGTCATGGTTTCATGGCACCTCCCTGTCAAATGGTCTAATAACATGTTTAGTGCTCTGTTCTACTTCCTTGCTTGTTAAAAAGTACTTGAGATCTTAAAAGCTTGCAAATGACTATCCAAGGCACAATTATTGATCTCTATTTGCCTGTAGCATCAGAAAAAGAAGGGGAGTCGGGAACAGGAGCAGGAAATGTAATATGTAGCTAATTGGCTCCATGAACCAGGACCTCTTTTGCTATGAGACCAGACCTAGACGGTACCTGGCTACCATTACTGAAGACTATGCTCCTGATCAGAAGAGGGAAATACAGAATAAAATTTCAAATTCTCAGAGTCAAAGCTTTCTGCAACCATGAAAGCTGGAGGAACTCCTGCTAATATGAGAAAAAGTTAAACTTTAAAATAAAAATGTCTCTTAAAGTAACTTTAAAGCCAATATGAAAAAGAATGTTGTATCAGGATTGTAGGAAGGCTTATAAACAACCTGCAGTGTGTAGATGGCACAACCGTGCTTGCTGACAGTGAGGAGGACATGAAGCACTTGCTGATGAAGTTCAAGGACTGCAGCCTTCGGTATGATTACAGCTCAAGGTAAATAAGACCAAAATCCTCACACTGGACCAAGAGGTGCCATCGTGATAAATGGAGAAAAGATTGTCAAGGATTTTGTCTTGCTTAAATCCACAGTCAATGGTCATGAAAGCAGCAGTCATGCACTGAATAAATCTGTTGCACAAGATTCTAAAGTATTAAAAAGCAAGGCTGTGTGTATGGATTGGGATAACAGTTGTATGAGCCCCTAATAAAATGTTAAAAAACATATATATAAAAATTAAAAAATTAAAAAACAAATTTAAAAAATAAATAAATAAATAAATAAATAAAAAGCAAGGCTGTTACTTTGAGGACTAATGTGCACCTGGACTCAAGCCATAGTATTTCCTTCCTTTCTTTTCTTTTTTTTTCCTGGAGCTTTTTATTTAATTATTTATTTATGTTTGGGGTGGGGCTCTTACATCTCTTAGCACAATCCATACATTCATTCATTGTGTCAAGCACATTTGTACGTCTGCTGCCATCATCATTTTCAAAGCATTTTCTTTCTACTTGAGCCCTTGATATCAGCTCTAAGCCATAGTATTTTCAATCATCTCATATGCATGTGAAAGTTGGACACTGAATAAGGAAGCCTGAATAAGAATCGATGCATTTGAATTGTGGTGCTAGCAAAGACTATTCAAAGGTCCCTGGACTGGACTGCTAAAAAGACAAATCGGTCTATTTTGGAAGAAGTACAGCCAGAATCTGGCTTAGAGGCAAGGATGCTAACACAGTTTTACATAATTTTGACATACTGTCAGGAGAGACCAGTCCCTAGAGAAGGATATCATGGTTGGTAAAATGGAGGGGCAGCGAAAAAGAGGAAGGCCCTCAATGAGATGGATCGAGACAGTGGCTGCAACGATGGGCGCGGCATGGGAACAATGTGAGGAGGGCATAGGAACGTGTAGTGTTTAGTTCTATTGTGCACAGGGTCCCTATGGGTCGGAGCGGATTCGATGGCACCTAACAAAAACAGTCTATTTAAACTCTTTGTTTTTTTAAGAAAGCAAAAACACCAAAACAATTGTTCAGCTTACTAGTACAAAAAATCTAACTTGCTTTATGCTTTTTATGAATGATCTATGTGGTATCAAAGCGACAAAAACAACTTGAAAGATTAGATAGGAACTTAAGAGAGAGGCAGTATACTTATTTATGTCAATGGAGGAACAACTAGAAAAAGAGGGTAAAGAAGGTTGTACAATTCAAGGAATGCACTCTGTATCACTAGCTGGTACATGCTGAAATTGTTGGATTGATAAATGTTTGCTGTGTGTATTTTCAGTAACATCAAAATATAAACATTTTTTTACAAAGAATTTCATGCAGAGAGAAAGAGCAGTGGCGAGAACACCAGGAATTTTGTTGTGAGCACCTCCACGAATGGTGCTGCCATTTACAAAAAAATGCAAAAGGAGTAAGATGTCAATGCAGTTAGGCTTGAGGTGCTTACGAGACATGCAAATGATGAATGAAAACTTCTGTGTCAACTATGAAAAAGAATACAGATGTTAGTTCTATTTATTAATTGTTATCCTTACCTGAAGAGGGGAATGGCTTGTTTGAAAATGGGATCATTCCTCAGGAACAGCACCTACAGCCAAACAGACATGTTAGGACAATCTTAAACATCCATAAGCTTCCATGCACCTCTTCTCAATGAAGTCTAGAAATTCAGAATATACAATCCAAAAGGATTCAAGGGTTCTTGTCTAGCAAAAAAGGTGTCCTAGAGTCAACATCGAACATGCAGGCAGGTCAGCGTCCTCATCTTTCTTATTCCATCCCCACAGAAAATGCTTAGAAACAGAAGCCCCTGCTTTTTGTTACCGTTACCCAACTTGATCTATTTTTTTCTAATATCCATCGACAATTATTATGTATCTAGCATATAGCATAATGCAAGGGACTTTCTTAAATCCTCTTTACATCTCAAAACAATACCCCAAGGAAATTTTCAGGTAAAGCAACAAAGGTCAAGAGAGATTATATTCCAAGAAATTATTACTTGGAATATAGGACTCTGCCTCTGTTACAGCACACTGTCTCAGTGATATACTGATAAACAATGAGAGGAGGCCTGAACAGTGGCAACTTTCCCCTAAGCCCCCCCCCC